GCCGTAGAAAATATTAGAAGATATTTCAACGAATTTCATAAGTATAAATTCATTTGATACCTACATCGTTTTAAAATGTTTTAAAGGTCACTAAATTATTTGATGAATTTCAACTATAAGTATTAGAAAAAATTAAGAACTAATGACTTAAGTTTGTTTCATAGCAACATAATCATGCATGATTATAAAAGATAGTTAGGTAATTGTTATTTTTCGATTAAAAAAAAGCGATTTACAAGTCATAAATCATAAAAATGAATAAATGAGTTAATCAGATAGAATGGAAAAGGGAAAACACATAGGTATTATTTAGTATTTACTAATTTGAAACATTTCTAGAAAAAATTAAACAATAGGGATTCGTTAAAAACTCAAATAAATAGTCAATAGAAAGGTAATATGAATATTTAATGTACAATAAATCAATAATGCGTCTTGCATGACTACGTGAAGATTTTTATTACACACAAATCATTGGATAAGTAAAAATATACTTTAGTTAAAAAAATAACTTATCTTGCCTGATGTTTCTATATTAGAAGTATAATATTACATTAGTACCTATAATGAGTGTATTATACTTGTAAAGGATTAGATCCGATCCTAAGGACGAGATGATACTCTTTAATATGTATAATCCCGTATACCTATATTTTCAAGAGGCAAACAATAAAATTACACTTCAGTCTTTTGTTGATCAGTTTTTAAGAAAAGTGCAATATATAATTAGCCTTTTTTCGTTTTTGAACCGACGGCGTCGCGGGGACAGCTTTCGCAATACTTCCGCGACAATATATAATTAGCCTAGTCTAATAAAAACTCACCCTAAAAATGCAGAAAAAATTCTTTAAAAGAATCATTTTTTTTAAAAATTATTATGATCACAGTACTTATATCATCTAATTTAGAATTGCAGAATTAATATTTAAGTGTTTTAAATGGTTAACACTGTCAATTTTCAAAACCTATATAGTAACATTTTGCAAAATACTAAATATTATATAGGAATTATTTCTATAAATAATTTTTGACCAATTATAAATTATGTAATATGCCGTTCTTTAAAAATATTTTACGACATAATACTACAATAGGTGTCTACTATATCTAGTTTTAATTTTAAATAATTAAAAATACCTTAGTCYTTAAGTGATTGTACATTGATTATTAGTTAGATAAGCATTGACGAATATACCTATTTATTTATTTTTAAATAAAATAAAACATAAATTTTCATAAAACAAATTATTAGATTTTAAAGAAATATAACAAAAGAAATGTTTACAAAAACAACAACTACTATTTCTATACTCTATTTTAGTATGTCTCGACCGCTACATGTACTACTATAAATTATAGTGGACAGTGGTAGGTATATGATAAAAAAAATCTCCCGTAGAAAAAAATGAATGGATTATTATTCTCATTAAGACTTATTTAATATTATTTGAAATTAATAGTATTGATACGAATAATAATTCTACATTTCCTTTTTGTAAATGAAATGCTTAATATTATATAATTATACTTAATTGTTTTATAGTTCTTAATAAAATACAATTCCTTGTAGRTATGTAAAATAACGTATGCATATTTTATAAGTTATAACTTATAACCAAAAAAAAGGTGATTTGATCAATTAGAATATGAAAATTTTCAAACTGAGAAAGTGCTACATGGATATGAAAAAAAAGGATGAAAACCGCTGCTCCATCAAGAATAAGAAAGGTACCGATCGGCGACCAATTTTAATCAGCGGCGCGGCGGTCAGATGCTACTCCCACTAACGCTGGCGTGAGAAGCAAAACTTCGGAATTAAGCCACGCCCATGCCCACAAGTCGGTCGCTCAAACTAACTAAATTGTTACATTTAAATMTGAAAAAAGTATTGAGTAATAAACTTCTCGGCAATTAAAAATAAAATCAATAGAGTAGGAAGTAGGGACCTATTATAAAATTTACTAAGTACTAACTGGTCTTTATACAAGTATATTTAGCTACATAGTACATTGATAATTGATAAAAATATGTATATTATCTAACTATAATAATAGGTTAACAATATAACATTATATTACCTATCAAATGCCGAATAAATCTCGCATAACAATTATTATCAGGGCTATTGTTAGGGTAGGAGGGGGCGAATTCTCACATGTGTAATACCTTGCGCTTAGAACTTCAATTTTATAATAATTCACAAAAAAGTATCACTACCAACAAAACCCGAAATAACTATTGAAATGTGAACAATTCCTGAATGTTGTTAATATTATTTGAATATCCACAGAATTCGGTATATACTCCTATAGTCATATATCGTAATTATTATGTTGGTAATTAAGTATATTTTATGCCTTATACTCAACTATTCATAACTATAGCAATAATCGAGAAAATAAGCGGTAGTATATATGAGACAACAAATGTGATTACCAACAATTATATTAAATTATACCTACCAAAAATGTAAGGCTATTTTAAATAGTAACATCCTTTTTAAGTAGGTATGTATGCAAATTAATTTTTAGTTTTTACTAAGGTATTGTTTAATAATTAATAATATTAACAGTTAATTTATTAATTGTATGTCTATTAAATTGTTTAATACCATTTTTAAATAGCGGCTATCTACAAAAATACTCTTACTTCTCTATAATTTTATCAATGTTTAATTTCTAACTTAAAAATTGTTTTAAATGTTGTTTTTTTTATTAACTTGGCCAATAGGAACTTGACAGTTATTATTTGGTAATAAAAACAATATTATTACCAATTAGGTTAACATGTCTACATAATAATTTTGAACAATCATTTATGTTAGTGGACAACATCTAAAATTAACTCAGTTCCTTCTACTACTTCATTACCTCATTCTCCACACTGTAAAATATTATATTATGTTTAAAATAACATGAAATGTGTACTACACTCAAACAACTTATTAGTAGTAAACACTAMAATATTATAATAATAAATTATTGTCAAAGTAATATACGTACCATGATTTGTATGTTTGCWGTAGGTACATATTGAAATATATCAAACTATAAAAAGTATTTTTTGTTAAAAAGATTGTTGCTATCAAATCATTAATAATTTACTTTTTTATTTTGTTTAGAAAATAAAAATAACTTTATATGGCTACCTTTTACCTACTGTAGTATTAAATGTATGTAGCGATGTTAGATGTACCAATACAACATTGATAGTTAAAATTTAATATTCTTCTAGAATTCTAAATAATATATCATGAACAAAGTGAAGAAATAACTAGTTTTACAATGATGACAAACATATGAGTGTTAAAAGTAAAATTGAGCAAATTACAGAATTCAATACTATCTAACTTTTATTAGATTAGGCGTGTGTAGACTTTTATAGCAAGGTATGGAGCTAATAAAATATGCTTTCCAAAGACTTAAATACCCTTAAKTAAATGTTTATACTAGAAAATGAATACCAATATTATCAAGATTATAATTAWTACTAGGTACCTTTTGATTAAAAAATTAAAACATTAATTATTTTGATAAAATGTTCATCAAATAGGATATAATTRATAATAAATTAAATTGATGCTTTTCACAAATATAAGCTGTAAACATTGTTGATATACCTACATATTTTATTCCCCATAAAATGTATAATTTTGAGACCTGATTTGAAACTGTTCTCATGCCATATATAAAAATGATTTTCTCCCAGGCCACATAGTATGCAAATTGCAGGCGCGTGCATGTTATCTGCCTATGAAATAAGAATTGGATTTTTTGTTAAGTAGGTAGGTATGCTTATACACCAACACCTGAATGCATAAATATTAAATATCAACAATCTAAGGTAATATTAAATTTAAGAAATATATTATAAAGATACTCAAAGAAAAAACTAGAATTTAATTAGAATTTTGCTGAAATCTATTAGATTCTAGAATCTACATAAAATAAACATAAGTATTTGATTTTAGTCTACAAATAGGATAGGTACCTACAGTTAGGTTTTTGAAAATTTTATTTAAAAAAACAAATGGTTACATACTTTCATGCTATACTTAATACATTAAAAGATGTATTTGGTTACTTTATTAGGTAGATATAACCAAAGGTGTAACACAAGTTAACAAACTATATTACAAGACATAAACTGTAAAACATAACCTTAGGTACTAAATATTTATACTCGTTTATAAATATAACGTTTAGTGAAACAAATTGAGTAGGTAATCACATTGTATGGAAAATATCAATAAAAAAAATTTGAGGGAAGTATTTATATCCAGTATCCACTAAATATACCTATTATTGCTTAAATAAAACACAATTATAGATGACCATCTGCATCATAATTTAATAGACCAAATAGGTATAGGTGCCTAAGTAATAAATATATTTTGATTATTATAACTTTAATTGGTAATGTTTTATTTCCTGAACATACACTTCCTAATTGAATTATTTATAAGTTATATTTTCATTCTGAAGAAATGTAGTAATTTAGAGTTTGTTTAAATTTTTAGCGGGATGTATATTTTATAAATATGTTCAAAGAAAAATTAACTGTAATAAATTTGATAAATCAGAAACTCTTGCATAAATAAAAATATTATAGGTAGCTCTTATAAATATAATACAATTTATGTGTAGTGTGTACCTTTACATATTTGAGGATGGGTAGATCATATTGAGTAGTAATAAATATAAAGTAAATATTAACTGTAGTTCTCGAGTAAGAAGACAAATTGATAGATAATGGAGTTATTGAGTTAGTGAACGAAATCAAAGTAGGATTGCTTATTTTAAATAATTAAATTATTAGTATTCCATAGAAATCTGAGGTTAAAGACTAAAACAATAGTAAGTTTATTTTTTTATAAACAAATTATACAAGTAATATTCTGCAACTGAATATTATATTAAAGCTCTTATTAAAGCCTTAGTTAAAGCTTTCCAATGGTATATTACATACCAAACTAATAGTGATTATAAAAGTAAGCATACCTGTTTGAAAATATGGTTGTCAGAATCAATGTTCTTCATCGGATGGTTTTTATAACACTCAGTACCATGTAATGCAATTTTAGAGGTGGGCCTGATTTTTATGTTTTCATTGAGTCCTTGTCCAAACATGCCGACTGTCAAATTGACATACAAATCTTTGGTTTCATCCTGGGTGAACTTTGTGTGGTTGACGACTTTCACCAAACTCACAAACGAACCGCCATACGATGCCGAAACGACTAATCCGTCGCACAACACCAACAACACAATAAACGCTAACGTTCTTTTGGGGCCGAACGCAGCCATCGTTGTTATCGTTCGGAACGGTTCAAGCGGGCGCAATGGGCTATTYGAAGAGCGGGAAATAAAATTTAAAAACTAAAAACAGTCTACCAAACAAACGTATACGACTTATGGAATTTTTAACTGTGTGTGGGCACAGCGAGCATGGTTACGTACATTGCGGTTACGAGTCGAACGTGACGCAGAAGGTCGAAGTAAAATGTGGTGTGCACTCTAGCTGATGTATTATTTTAGATTTTTTTATAGTTATTCGTTACCACGTAGCCAAACCTAAACGTCCGGTAGACGGAAACAAGAATTCAAAAATCGGATCGGAACGTGCACGCCGGGCGTGCAGCAGKAGGGACGATGGCACACGGACTGAGGACGGCGCGCGACTGAACAGCGACGAGGGAGAAAAATACCGGTGGCCGGCTGGAAACTGGAAACGCGCGCGCGGAGCCGAGCAGCCGATGCAGCAGTGGCAGTGTGGACGTAATGTGCGCGCGGCGGTGTTGCGATGAGTGCGCGGCGCGGCGGAAGCACGGCGACCGAACTGAATCATCGTCGGCGGCGGCGGCGGGCAACAGCAGCTGTTGTCATCGCCCCCACAGCGCCGGCGGCTGAGACGGCGCGCCGCAAGTCGTGTCGAGTAGTTGTTATCAGTAGTCAGATTAGCGCGCGTGGCTCATGCTCGACGTGATAGTGGCAATGTGGTCCGACCGCCGCCGATAGAAACCGTTGGCTAAAAATGTTAACATAATAATATTATTAATATTATTGCGACGGCGCGCGTAGGCACCACCGTCATTGTGCTAGTATCATGTTCATATTATTATTCTGATGTCGGTGCAGCTACTGTCGCTACGCGCGCGTGACCGGTACCGGCGTGTCGCGGTCCGGTTGATAAACGATCGGGCGCTTCCGTTTTGGTGACTGATCACCCGGCAACAAGACGGGCGGTCGTAAAACGGTTTGGCAGAAATCGTTACTGTGGGGCAGATATTATATACCAAAAAATTTATTTATTTTTTACCCATCGTTAGCCGTACTTTATGGTCCAAACAACCGTACTCAATATTGATATCCATGTATTATAATTTATAATATAATATATTTATCATTTTCACACCTATGGGTAGATATATGTATTTCCGATTTCCTATTTAATACCTATAACATATTAACATGATACCTATTAATAAATATTAATACCTATTAATAATACCTTTTAATCGGGTCATTATAATTATTATCATATCTGTATTTCACTGATTAGAAAATTATTTCTAAATTTCACCGTAGAAAAAAAACTAATGTTTGATATCCCATACGCATAATACTGCGGTCATATAAAATTATCAACATACGTGACAAATCGCGTTTGTAAAACTTAAATATTATTTTAATAATTATTATCATTTGAATAAAATGTGAATGTTTTACGTAAAAACAATTTAATGTTTTTATATTTTTGGTGCAACTCAAAAAACTAATCACCGTAGACGCTTAAAATTTTCACCAAAATGTATTTTAGCTTTTTAAATATTTATGATAACATGCTTAAATACCTTGGCTTTTTGAACAATTTATATCCTTATAGTAATTTTTCGAATATTGAAATTTTTTTTAGGATTACGGTAAATAAACCTTTTCTCTTTTCACACGTTAAAAAGTTTGAAAATTTAAGGAAATTATCATCAAAAGTTGCTTGAATAACAGTTAAACAATATTAAAGATATATCGATACAGTTATTTTTCATATGCATTTAAGTTTTAACAAATTTTGACGAAATTCATCAACATTCAGAAAATTTGCAATATGAGATATTTAGCGGAAATTAAATTAACAAATTCCCATCAATTGATTTTATTTTTTTGTAATTCTAAAACGAAAAACCATGTAGGTATACGATGTATCGTTAACAAAATTGAGATATTCTGGATTTAATACTCTTTCAATATATTTGGGTAGGTACAGTCGACAGTTATCATGGTATAACATTTCTGTTCAAAGAAGATTATTGGAAGGAACAATTGGAATATGATAATGAAACGTGTTGAAGTACACCAGATACACAGAAGCTAAAGGTAAATAATAATAAGATCGGATATATGTAATAATATAATAATAATATRTATAATTGATACKAATAACTATAGTGCTCYGAGGCGTAATATAAAACAACGACTAATCGTCCTACAGGCTACTACATAGAACGAACATGATGCTAGTAATACAAAATGCCTATTCAGCGTCTGCTGTACTACAGTGTGAATAATTTTACTTATAATCTACATACTATAGGGTGTGTTGTTTACATTCAGCAAAACGGGTATAATAAACAAAATCCAAAATGAGGTACATCATGAAAGCCTCTAATACAATTTATTGCAAATTGCTGGAGCAATGCTATCATACAAAGATAAATGGTGTACTATTATGTAATTATGAACATTTTACATAAATGACAAAATATAATTGTATATTATACATATTAATTACTTTTACTGTTCTGATGATGAAGCCTTACAAACATTCATACCATTTGTCAATGTAAGTTTTTACATTTTAACTTATTAAATTTGTATTTGCCTTGTAAACTTATTACAATTGTACCTTTTTATATATTTATCTTATTGTTAAATTTGTTACTTATGATTATGCCAGCAGTATATTTTTATGCATATAGAATATAGATAGATAATGTTTAAAATATACTAAGCAATGATCTTACAACTATATTAAATTTAGAATATTATTATGTAATTGTCGGCCACGTGCGCACCTATAACAGTTAACGCCGGCAGCCTCACCTCCTCTGGACGACTCCCAGGTGAACACAACAAGCTTAGTTCTAAAATAAATAATCTGTTCAGATATGGCTATAATATGGATCTATATTATGATTAGTGACACAGTAATAATAAGCTTTGGGGAAACAACAATTTGACCACTCCGAAGCTGGCTGGTGTCTGCTGAACTGTAGGTATAGCAGATTTGCCGTCAGTGTAGCGGAACTACTTGTATGGACGGTCTGGCCGTCGGTGTAGCTGAACTGCTGGTGTGTGGCTGATCTGCCGTGTCTGGCTGTAGGATGCGAGACGGATGAAAAAGGATAAAAACAATTCAAACTCTTCAAAGTTCACTTCCGTTTCCGTGTGAAAACGTGGTTTACGAAATACACTTATACACAAGAATGATATGAACAATATCCCTTTTTTTGAAAACAGTAACGGACCGATACAGCAATCGGTAAATAATAAAACGATAAAGATGGCGACGGAGCGTCGCAGGCCACACATCAACGGCCGTCTAGGCGGCCTAATGGTCTGGCTAACTGTAAGCAGTTCTGGCAACATCACGTGCCACTGTGATGCCACATTTTATTCGTTTTATCGAGAAAAGTCTGACAATTGATGGATTCAATCTTCTATTTAAAAATAATTTCTGTCTGTCCTTTATACATTTCCAAACAGCTGGATAGATTGCTACGATATTTGGTACAGAGACATATTTGAATTGATGTTTCGTAGAAGAATGATGGGCACACCAAATTTCAATGTTAGAACGTGCGATGCATGCCTGCAAAATCAAGTAAATTTAAGAATTCAGTTGGATATTTGACAACTTCRTCTTGATTCATTACGGTATCGACTATCAATGGATTGGTACGTTGTAGTGTTGCCTGGAATTTTGTTTAGAATGGTGAAAATGATTTTATTTACATCATAGTTTTTGCTTTCAACATAGCCCGTGCACTGACCACGTAGGTACATATGGACCACATGTGACCACTGCCATAGACGGTTTCTGTAATTTTGTGGTGTATTTGGAAAAACTAATATGTTAAGAATTAACTCATTGGTCGTTGCTGTTATTTTACAGACATTTGTTGGCAATGTGATGAATTGTGTAGATTCATTCTTTGGTTAGTTTCCCATTCCCCATTCCCAGCAATTGTTTTGCAAAACCATCGGCTGATGCATCATTTTGTAGTTGTACACGCAAAATATGTTTCATGTTTCATATCGGATTCCAATTTTTGCACCTCGTTTCTCAGTTGTTTCAGATGAACGGAATCGAGTTTGACGTTCTCTCTGGATGTTCCCAATCTTGCATATCTTTGCTCAATCGTTTCTCAAGCTCGTACTACCACTTTCTTTTGTGCTTGAGTCGTAGAACTACAGATAAATATTGTTTTGGGAGGCATAATGCATAGAAATTTTTATGGATTAGACCAGCGTTTCTTAAACTGTGTTCCGCGTAGATCACTTCAAGGTTCTGCGAAGCTTAAATAATTTTTTTTAAATGTTCAAGAAAATTACTTTAAAATATCCATTATGGAAAAAAAATACTTGTATATTAAATAACAAGGTATAAGCCATATGAAATAATCTATCAGCTAACTCTATATTCAATAATCTATACTTCTACTTAATATTATAATTTATTTGCAGATAATCCAAAAAAAAAAAACTAAAAAGCTAAAAACAAGTAAGAGTTCCGCGATAAAAATGGATATCAAAAAGGGTGCAATGGATACAAAAGTTTAAGAAACGCTGGATTAGACTTAGGCTCTTCCTTACATAGCAGAATAACTGCAACTTGAATGATAAATATCATTGCAAAGGAGATACGCAAACGACTTATTTTACGTCTTATACACTYGAATTCAAAATTTACCATAATGGTGGACGGATCATCAACGCTGAGAACCAAATACACTCTAGTTGTGTATATTTTATCATATTTCGATGCAGAAACACCCATTGTAGTATTTTTAGACCTGACTGAGTTAAATAGACAAGATGCTGAAAGTATTGAGAAAGCTCTTTGGTGAAGTTTAAAATGTATTAGAATATCATCATAATTTGATTTCGTTTGTAAATGATGGTGCATGTGTGATAAGACTTGATAAACTGGTATTCATCTTTTATCTAGTAGATAACTACTTGATAACGACGTGATAGCACTGTAAGAAAAGTGGAGTTGCTACTAAACTGTGTGATAAAATCCCTTATCTATTTACATGGCATTGTCTATCGAACTTTCAGTACACGATGTTATAAAAGATTGTACTGGAGTATCCCATTTCCAAAGCTTAATGGACATACTATACGCTTACTATCATCAAAGTCCCAAAAATGCAATGGGCTTGGACAAATCTTGTGTTGAAATAGGCATAGAAATAAAAAAAATCAGTTGCGCCTTGAATGTACGTTGGTTTGCAAGCAGTTTCCTTACTATAAAGGCCATATGGAATAATTATCCTGGAATATATAATACACGTGATGCGATATAATATGGCATACAAAATAAATTGGAATCCTCTTCTTTTTACAAAAACTTGGACTCTTTTACGATGTTCTTTCTGAGCTTACAATGTAATCTTGCATATTACAATCGAGTAAAACAACCATATTGCGTGCCCAATCGGAGATGAATAGAACCATTAGAATTTTAAAAAATCTGAAACCTGAACCTGGGGAAAAAGAAAAGGAAATTATAGAAGCTATTCAGAAAGGAATTGATAAAGATGCCAATATTACAATACAAAATCA